TCTCCCTTACCATTAATAATGAATAAAAGTGAAAGTGGTATATTGATGGATCCAATAAAGTGTATGTTACCACGACAGTTGCCTCCCTTGTAGGGTATTTGAAGACAACTTTGATACCACTCGTTGAGTATGCGGAAGTGTTGTGATGGTAACACGAAAAAATTTGTAATAAATAACTTGAGACACACTCATTATACCAAAATGTGGTACAAATACAACACATAAAAGTACTCACTCTCACCATTATAATATTTTCTCTCACCACACTCAAAACACTTAAAGATATATATAGATGCATTAGCTGACTTAGATCCGTCCGCACCGCCATGCGCGACGTGGTGCTCGTTCCAGGAGTGAGAGCCCACGACGAAGCCAGATGGTGTCAAAGGCCACAGGCAAGCGGAAACGATCGCGAAGGAGCGCCAAGACGAGACACGAGAACGTACGAGAGAGAGAGTTCATGAGGGCCATCATACATGAGAAGAGCGAGGAACAAAAAGGGTTTTGCTTGAGAGAGCGTGGGAGCGTGTATCTAGCAAACGATGAGGTGGGAGATGATGGGTTTGAGTTGAAGAGACGTCCAGTTTGCAAGTTTTGGTGACGGAGGAGAGATTGCTGGTTTAGCTCTGCAGTTGTTTCGATAACTCGGCTCAAAGGTTGTCTTAGAACGCTGACGCTAACTCTCTTCCAAACTATGACAACGTGTCTTTGTTTTGCCAGAGTTTCTTTCGCGATGAAATATCTTTTACCGAAAATCGTTCTTCGTTTTTTATTTAAGGAAACTAGGGTTTTGCCCCAACTCCGAACAGGAAATATCACAGGCAAAAGGAACCAACAGCTTTAATTAGAATAAGACTAGACCTATGCAAATCACGCTGACATTTAATCGACGACAAGACTTGGAAAGTACAAACTCGATGAAGCAACTAGATATGAGCAAACTATGCCAAGACTTAATCGACGACCGGGCTTGAGAACACAAAGATACTATGGTAGGATTTAATCAACGACATAGCACAGGATAGGATTACACATCGCAATTTTATCAACGAAGCGAATCGAAAAGTTACGGCTATGAAAATAAAGTGCAATGCGGGAAAGTAAAGATATTGAAAATATGGAAAATTTGTTTGATTTGTGTGTGGACTCCCTAGTAAGCAACTAATGGTCTTTATAATGGTAGTTTGATAACTACTTCCTAGCGGTTTCTAGCGGTTATACTTCTTGTCGATCGGTTTTCAACGGTTTCCTCCATGCTTCTCCACTTCCGAAAGTTCTGTGCCCATTTCCCTTGGTCCTGTTCCTAAGCAGTTGTTCCTTCAAAAGCGCACTTCAGCTGTTCCTGGTGTTCCCACGATCTTGCTCCAAACCAACAGTTCCATGGTCTTGTTCCAAGTGATAACTGCTCATTGGTAATTGCCTTGTGATCTTGTTGTTCCATGACATTGCCTTTGGATGATTGTCGCTTTATACAGCTTTGCTTCTAAGTGATTGCCCTCCAAAATATGCAGAATACGCATGTCGATTACTCTTCGATCCTCAATTGCTCTATCCCTTGTGATCTTGACTTTGTAATTATGTTCCTTTGTTCTTCACGTCTCCAAAGAGTTTTGATGGCTTGATGTCCCTCGCTCATCGGTACCCATATCGATAGTTATTAACCATTCGTCATCGTGTATCAACAATTGACTGGCAATTTTCCTCGATATGCGCCACCGATATGTGTCAACACTGATTGTAACTATCAATATTAACCCCTATGACCGATGGCAACATGTCACGTGCATGATAATCCTCGTACATTATTCACGTGATCATTTATGCCCACGCGTTAGTCACGTGCTTGCCTATGTCGAAGAGATGATCATTTTTGGTGTAAACAGCATTGCAGGATGACCTTTGCCATTGTCGGACGAAATAAGAATCGAAGTACCTGCAACCTAATGAACATTGTAGATAGTTTTGTGTGCATAAATAAATACGTTAAAGCACTGGACCCTTCTTATCGTATGATGCAAATAGATTATTCAAGACGTCTATTGGACCGAGGACCATCTATATGTTGTCCAGAAGGTGGACGAGTGGCTTGATTTCTAGATTGTGGTTAACATTCAAGATATGAAAAATCACATTGTTTCTTTACTATAATGAACAAAAAGCAACAATGGATCTGAAGTTCAATGTCGATTGAATTAGCAATTGTACTAGTTTTGATTTGAACCTTCAAACACAGTCTAAGGTTTTCTTTTTGGGGGTTGGAAACACAGTCTAAGGTTGAACTTGCGCTAAAATCATTGGTCTATTTTTAGAATCCAACCATATAAGGATCGATTCATCTATGAATTTTATTATAAAGTGTTTCGAGGATGCTTATTAAGTATTAAAATATGGAATCTTGCAATTTTCAATGCACCGATTATTCTCGTGATATTCACGATTAATACATTAAGACTCAAGCATCTTCTCATAAAACATTTTTGCAAGCTCTTTAAGTGTCTCAGGGGCACTCGTTAACAAAACTATACATTTAGTCGTAGAATTTTTTTTTTGTCAACTCTTTATTCTTTTCGTAGTTAATTTCAAGAGGAAATCACCTCTGCCTTTACAACAAAAAGGTTCAGTTTAAAACTAAACTGTGCTCATTTGCTAGTTTCAAAAGAGTAGATTGTTTTGCAAGTAACCCTTTGAGATTATACAAGTACTTGATCCATCGTAATCAGCTTGTTCAAACGTCACTTGACTGGTCACCTTGTGCATATTCTCAATCACAATATATATAATTGTGGAAATATATATATATATATATATATATATATATATATATATATATATTTCCACAATTTGAATTTTCTGGTCCATGGCGTAATTTATCATCTCTCTTGCCAGGATTAGTTAGACAATGCATTCATATAATGGGCTGACTATGTATGACTACATCGCCCCATATAGATTAGTTAACGGACTATAGACGTCATGTCGTACCATCTTTTATCTCTTATTTGTTTATAGCTTCAATTTTGTAGTGAAAGAGAAACATAATCGAAGAATTCCAAACAGTGACCTCCCAAATCACGCTATTTTTAGAAAAAGAAAAACAGAAACAAACCTGATAAATTAATACAATTTCGGTCGGTTAAGCCATATGCCCATAAATATGAGGGAGGCGGTGGATTTGCTTTCGGAAAAAATAAATGATTTAGAAAATATTTTCCTGAGAATAATCGTTTGTATTGCTTATAAAACTTGATGAATTTTATCATACACGAAAACTTTTAGGTATAAATTGTTGTCTATAACTGAACATATTTTTTATCAGCTAATAATTTTAATCGATACAAACAATTATTTTTAGGAAAATATTCTTTAAATTATTCATTTTTCTCGAGACACACGAATTCTGAATATGGGTAAATATTTGTTAGGTTAAACAAGCTTTGGTCAGCTCTTAATGTCCAAATGAACTTTTCCTTCTTCTTTTTTGGGATAAGTGCATTACAAGTCCTAAAACTTGTCACAAAAGTGCATTTGAGTCCTAAAACTTACAAAAAGTGCAATTGAGTCCTAAAACTTGCCAAATTGATTCAATTGAGTCCTAAACTTAACACAGTTAAATTTACTAACGGAAAACGCTGACGTGTCATATTTTATTACTTTTATTGGGACACGTGGCAATGATGTGGCGTCCAATAAGCGCCACGTCAGCAAAAATAAAAATTAAATTAGAAAAAAGCTATAAAAAAAAAGGAGACCCCAACCGGCAGCTGCAGCGGTGGCCAAGCCCTCGCCGGTGGCCGTCGCCACAGCCGCCGGGAAGGGCCGGCGGAGGTCGCTTGGGCCTTCCCGAAGCCCGGCGACCCTCGCCGGCCTCGGGCGAGGCCCCACCGGTCCCCGGCGACGGCATGAAGCCCCCGATTTGGGGGAGAGGGCGACCCTCGCCTCAGATTTGAGCCGAGGGCCGGCAAGGCCTCGCCTGGGGTTGCCCACCCTGGGCGAGGCCTCGCCGGTCCGCGCCGGCCCCAGGTGAGGGCCGGCGACCCTTGCTTAGATCTGGGGCGAGGGTCGCGCCCTCCCCCAGATCGGTGGCTACAGGCCCTCGCCGGGGACTCACCCGGGGATGGCGAGGGTCGCCGGGCTTCAGGAAGGCCCAGGCGACCTCCGCCGGTCCTTCCCGGCGGCCACCGGCGAGGGTTTGGCCACCGCCGCAGTTGCTGGTTTAGGGTTTTTTTTGCTTTTTTTTGTTTTTGTTTTTTTATAGCTTTTTCTAATTTAATTTACATTTTTTTAAATTTTTCTGACGTGGCGCTTGTTGGACGCCACGTGTCTCAATAAAAGTATTAAAATATGATACATCAGCGCCACGTCAGCGTTTTCCGTTAGTAAATTTAACGGTGTTAAGTTTAGGACTCGATTGAATCAATTTGACAAGTTTTAGGACTCAATTACACTTTTTGTAAGTTTTAGGATTCAAATGCACTTTTGTGACAAGTTTTAGGACTTGTAGTGCACTTATCCCTTCTTTTTTTCCTGCATAGTTGACTAATGGACGAGGGCCAACTCATAATTTGTGTATTTATCTTTTCCCATTATGATTAACTCATGGGGGCACGTTCTTTTTATAATATTCAAATCCAATCCATGAAGCAGGCCCGCCATCATCGCCGTGACCCAACTAATACTCTACTCGTAATTTTAGGCTGCATCATTTTTCCCATTTTAATGTACTTACTTTGCTTTTCTTTTCTCTTTTCTTTTTGTTTCAATATTCATGTCTACTATATGCTCCCCGTGAAAAAATAAATGAAGAAAAATTCAGGTCTCGCAATCTCAAACAATAAGCCAAGACGCCAATTAATCACAATCAATCTCTCTCTCTCTCTCTCTCTCTCTCTCTCTCTCTCTCTCTCTCTCTCTCTCTCTCTCTCTCCATATTCTGTAAATAAAAGTTCAAGAGCCATACAAGCTAACCCTCCACAGAGAGAGAGAGAGAGAGAGAAAGAGAGAGAGATAGAAAGAGATATGGAGCTGCAAGTATTGAAACTCATCTTCACGGCCTTCACGGTAGCGTTCCTGAGCGCCGCGATTCGAACTCTTGAAGTCTTGATATGGAGGCCACAGAGGCTAAGGTTGAAGCTCCGGCAACAAGGCATCCGAGGCCCTCCGGGTTCTTTTTTCATCGGGAATCTCCGCGAGATGAAGGAGCTTCAATCACATTCCACCACACCCACGAAATCACCATCGCAAGGAGATCAGCAAGCCATAACGCACAACTGCTCCTCCAAGCTCTTGCCATTCCTAGATCGCTGGAGACAGCAATATGGTAATCTATTGATTGATCATATCGCACTCAGTTGTAATGAGATTTATATCGGGTTGACCAAAATGATAATGGTTCTTTTTTTGGTGTCATTAAGGGAATGTGTTCATGTTCTCGATGGGGAACATACAGATGCTGTACCTGAACGATGCGGAGGCAGTGAGGGAGATGAGCACGTGCACTTCGTTGGACTTTGGAAAGCCTTCTTACCAGCTGAAGATGATGGATCCTCTGCTTGGCCAAGGCATTGCAAACTCCAATGGTGCCAAATGGGCTGAACAGAGAAAGATTCTTGCTCCTGAGTTCTACGTTGACAAAGTTAAGGTGATCTTAAACTCTCTCTCTCTCTCTCTCTCTCTCTCTCTCTCTCTCTCTCTCTCTCTCTATTTGCACGTAGACCCAAGATTATTCCTTGAGAGAGAAAGGACGTCTGACGTGATGAAACATAAGTAATTATAATACTTTTCACGAATCTTATGAAGCTGAAAAGTTGAATTTGAAGTTTAAAGGATTTTAATTTGGTATATTTCGCTAGTCCTTCTGAATTTCTTGAACCCAACCGGGCAAGGGTTCAAGATGCTACTTTACATAACCTAGACACTCTTTGAATGATTATTTAGGGCAACTAATCTCTGTGTAGGGTATGATAAACTTGATGGTGGAGTCTTCAATTACTTTGGTGAATTCATGGAGCGAAAACATTGAAAAGGAAGGTGGAGTTGCTGAAATTAACAGTGACATCCACCTGAGGAGCTTTTCTGGGGATGTGATCTCCAAGGCATGCTTTGGGAGCAACTATGCCAAGGGACAAGAGATTTTCTTGAAAATTAGAGCTCTCCAAGAAGCAATCTCCAAGATAGCCTTCAACTCTGCAGTCCCAGGATTCAGGTAATTTATTCGAATGAATTACTGGATAAAAGAATCATTTTGTTGGACATAATTTTCTTGGCTTACCAGGAGCGTTCTGGCCGCTCCCTCCCATGTGACAGCAATTGACTATTATGAATTACAAATTGCACATTTTTAAATTAAAACGACATTAACGCAGTTGTGAATTTAGAGGAGATCGTCACATGTTTGATAGGAGCTAAGAAGCCTCCCGCTCTAGTTGGAGGCATAGATTATTCCTGCCAAAAAACTCGTGCTCCGCATTTGAGTGAATTCTACTTTTAAGTTTTTGACTTTTTGTCCATATTGAGTAAAGTTCGGTTTCTTCAAGACGACCCCTCTTTGACTATCAAGAAATCCCTTGCTTACCTCTTAATGATATTTTCGCATTATGTGGAAGCTTTAATAATATCTTTTATCCTCAAATTTTAGAGGAAAAACTATAAGTAGTTGGAATAGTCGATAAGTGCATGCATGGATAAGTCGGTTTGTGCTCCTTCTAACCTCGCATTACATGGGAATCCCTTCCAGATACTTGCCAACCAAGACCAACAGGCAAATATGGAAGCTGGAGAGAGAGATTCAGTCCTTAATCCTGAAGGTAGTGCAGGAACGAAAGGAAGCAACCTTAGAGAAGAACATGCTTCAGATGATACTCGAAGGCGTTGAAAACAGCGACCAGTTGGGATGCGGCGATGCGACGGACCGTTTCGTCGTGGACAACTGCAAGAACATCTACTTCGCTGGGTACGAGACGACCGCCATCACTGCCGCCTGGACATTGATGTTGTTGGCCTCGAATCCGGGATGGCAAGCCAAAGTACGCAAGGAGGTCATGCAACTGTTGCGTGGCGGCCAACTTCCGGATGCTGACATGATACCGAAGATGAAAACGGTGAACACATACATAACATGAATTATTTACAAAGAGTTTCTTGATTGGAAAACAAAAAAAAAACACTATTTAATTTGAAAATTTTCGTTTATGCATATACTTGTGATAAAATTCTTCATTGCTAATGGATTCACAGTTAAGTATGTGAAATGAGAACTTATATATTCTTTGGCGATCCACTCGCATCTATTGACAACGGTTTCAGGTGAGTTGGGTCTTCAACCAACTATATTATATAAATCCACATGCATCTTTTGAATATAGTCAGAGCTAAAATGTAACGAAATAATCCACGATATTCATATATGTCACTTACACGACCAAAAACACCTATGGTCTTAATAAAGAATTGAACTTTTTCCATTATTGACAACCATAGACTAATTAGTTCTCATTTACGATATTGATTGCAGTTGACGATGGTAATCAACGAGTCACTACGTCTCTACCCACCGGCGGCCCTTATCACAAAAGAGGCACTTGAAGACTTGAAGTTTGGTAACATCCAAGTTCCAAAAGGGGTCAATGTTTGGACCCACGTGGTGCCCCTCCACCACGACCCCGATATCTGGGGGCCTGATGCCGACCGGTTCAACCCAGAGCGGTTTGCCAATGGAGTCATCGGAGCTTGCAAGCTCCCATACACGTACATGCCCTTCGGGGTTGGGTCTCGCTCGTGTCTAGGGCAGAACTTCGCAATGGCCTAGCTGAAAGTCCTCCTGGCCCTCATAATTTCCAACTACTCCCTTTCAATCTCGCCCAAGTATAGACACTCCCCAGTTACGAGGTTGGTCATAGAGCCTGAATTTGGTGTGGATCTTCTTGTAAGGAGACTCTGACATTCAAAGGAAATCTTGTTCCACGTTTCAAGTTCAGAAAATGTGAAAGCGCCCTTCTCTTTGTAATATCGGTGCGTCCCTTTTTAGCTCAAGTAATAAGAGGATTCCCATCAGTAACACTTGTTAGTGTTCTACTTGTCTTCTCTTGAGCTATGATTACTAGTTTTTTTCCAAAATTAGTCGATTCCGTGTTCTTGTATTCCAATTGTTGTTTGACAATAGTATAAATTCCACACACCTTTTTCTTCAATGACATTTCGTGGGGTACTTATAGTTAAATTGTCATTTTATTAAAGTTTACATGTGAGGATATTAGCCTATAAAGCGAAAGAAGTCCCACTTTGGGATTGTCATGTAATGGGGAGCGGTTAATATATCATCCTTAACTTGTGACACATTGTTTTAAGCTTTTGAAATTTTGTACAAGTGACGGCCAAAAAATGAAATTTTATACAAGCGGCAGTGATGTTCATCAGCAAGCTATCATGAAATTTGGGAAATGTTAAAAGCTTTTTCCAATTTTTTACTCTCTTTGCGCAAATATTAGATGACCACAAGCAGAGTGATAATTTGATGAGCATTTGCTGTGCCTTTAGCTTTTATGTATTTAGCCTATCAAAATTGGGGAAAAAAAAAACGAACTCCCTATTTCACTTAATAGGAATTTGACAAAATTTAGAAAATCCACAGGTAAGAAAAACATAGTCTTTGATGTGCTTTATAAGTTCTGTCTCGTGTATAACTAAAAGTTATGGTTTGCCGGATCCATATCTCGGCGAGGTGTGAACGTTGGTTGACGTAGATTGGTTCTGTTTTTAATTGCAAGTAAAATTATAGTTTGTCTATGGATCATGGATAGGTTGAATGCAATCTTGATTTTTATTCTAGAAAAAAATGGGCTTCAGGTTTAATTGGATCGAAAATTCACTTGAGAAGAATGGGCCAAATGACACGTCAAGGTCCAATTGACTCTTATGAGTCTTTTGAAAAATGAGCCTATATCCCATGAAGTCCAATATGTTTGTCTATCCTTTTATTTATCCATCTGTTCTTTTACGGAACACTTATGATATGGGCTTTGCCAAATTGATTCATTTGGGCAAATTCAAAGACTCAAAGGCACAGGTTCATAAACGAAAGGAAAACAAGTAAGGTGCTAAAAACAAAAAATATGTTTTCTGACAAATTTAACTATACTCTACATAACCCTTACAAAATAGTGGAGTTTTATGAAAAAATATTGACAGAAACCAAATCTGTCACTTTCAGACATTTTTCAGATAAAGATTGTATAAATTACTCCACAGCAAGAATCCATAGTGTCATCCACCCTTCCCAATGGAAACCAGATCCCATAACTTTGATAAAATTTGATACCAAGATAACCGAACCCTTACCATACAAATCCTCTTATTTTATTTTGATTACCAACTGTTGATGAAAACTCCTATTGATTTTGAAGTTGACAAAACCTTCCATGTTATTGTAAATCTGATACTTATTCTGAACTATTTTATTCCAGGTATGTATATATATTCTGGAAGCTCAGAAGGAAGTTTTTCAGACTTTACAAGCTGGCAAAATAAGAAGTTCATATCTTATTGAAGATCCACATAATCTTAGTTCTGAGATTCAAACGCAGAAATTATTCATACGCAGAAATTATTCAGACGCAGACGCAGACGAAGAAGTTTTTCAGACGCAGAATTCAGAACGAAACATAACAGCTAGTGATCTGATATGAATTTCACAAAAGGAAAGTTTTGATTGTTTCAATCTAAGACTATAATTGATTGACAATCAAATACTATGACAAGTATGCATTACAACGGATAAAGCTCTACTTATGGAAACCAAGATTCTGATTGTATGGGCGACCAAAATCAGCGGGATTCAGAATCTGTCATCCAACGGCTACTCAATCCTTATTATACAAATCTGTCCAAGGTGAAGATTGGAAGATGATCCTCTGAAAGCTGTCCAACGGCTAGTTTGGAAGTAGAGAAGTATTTAAGGAGATCAACGAGCAGCAGAAGGAACAACAGAATCAAGAATCAACAAGTCCAAAGTCTGAGCATACTCCGATCATTTTTCTCTTGTCTTTCTGAGCCATAAATTAAGATCATGAGGGTACTTTATAAGAGTGATTGTGTGAGATAGAGAGTCCTATCATACACAAGAGTATTGTCACTCAAAAGCTGTAATTCCTCTTGATTACATAATGAAATCCAGCCGGTAGGCTGTCAGCGTGGGAGAGTGGACGTAGACTTACTATAAGCCGAACCACTATAAACTTGTGTGCAGTTTTTCTATCCCTTATCTCTTAATTTACATACTACACATCAAGAGCACTGTCTATATAATCTGTCTTGAATCTGAAGTTTATTCAGACTCAGCTGTGTTTTTTTATTTTAGCATAATTTGACAAAAATTGTTTAAGATCACTTATTCACCTCCTTCTAGGTGATCCTTGCTAGCTACATCAATTGGTATCAGAGCAGGTTTCTCGTTTATTGAAGTGTTTTACTTCTGAGCTAACGATCTATATGGCTAGCTTGAGTGCTCCAGGGCTCATTGAAGGACAAAGCAACAACATACCACCATATTTCGATGGCAATGAATATAGTGTCTGGAAGAATAAGATGAAGGCATTCATAAAGTCAATTGATCACATGCAATGGGATGTCATCATCAGAGGAGTCAATCCAAAATCTTCTGATTCAAAAGAAAAGGCAGACGGAAGCAAAGCAGCAGATCCTCCATTATCTCAAACTGAGATATCTAAAAGAGAAGCTTTAGATTCTAAAGCAATTTATTCTTTCTACTGTGCTTTATCACCTATTGAATATAAAAAAATTGCCTCTTGTGAATCAGCTAAGGAAATCTGGGATGCTCTCAACACTATTCATGAAGCAACAGATTGAGCCAAGGAAACTCAAATCAATCTTCTGCTTGGTCAATATGAATCTTTCAAAATGAAGCTTGGAGAATCAGTAGCCGATATGTATGATAGGTTTACTGACATAGTAAACGGTCTTGCATATCAAAGACAACCAGTCTTAGATGCGATGAAAGTCAACAAACTACTGAGAGGACTGACAAAGCAGTGGGATAATATCAAAACATCTCTTCGAGAGACACAAAGGATGAAGCCTCTATCAGTGAACGAGTTAATTGGAACTCTTCAATCATATGAGATTGAGCAACGGAATGAGGAGAATGAATCCAGAGGTAATAAGTCAATTGCATTAAAAACTAACATTGATTCTGATGCAGATTCTAAAGATGAAGATGTTGACGATGAAGAACTAGCTCTCTTCATAAAGAAGTATAAGAAGATGAAGATAAAAGGAAGAAACCTCAAAGGGAAGAAGCCTTTTGAGAAGAAGAAGTCTTTCGATGAAACAGAGAGATCAAAGGATGTAATATGCTTTCACCGTAGGAAACGTGGACATATCAAGCCAAATTGTCCACTTCTGAAAAAGAAGACCAAATTTGAGAAAGCAAAGAAGGCCTTAAAAGCAGAAACCTGGAGTGATACAGAGTGCGAAGACAGTGATGAAGATATCTCATATTTCTGTCTAATGGCTAAGTCAGATTCAGACTCAGATTCAGATTCTGATCCTAAAGTGGAAATTGAGGTAAATCATTCTGATATGCCTATTGAAGTATCAAATTATATTGATGAATTATGCTTTGAATTTAAGACTGCTCTTAAACGAATCTCTTCTTTGAAAAAGGAAAATTCATCACTGAGGCAATAGGATGTTTCACAAAAAGAAAAAATCGATTTCCTTCAAAAAGAATTTCATCAAGTCAAGGAAAGTCGAGATTTTCTTTAAAAAAAAAATACTGTTTTGAAAAAGGAAGTTTCAGAAATTACTTCCAAGTTTTCAAAAGGTTCAGAAACCTTGAAGCATATCCTTTCTATCCAAATTCCTTACTATAACAAATCTGGTCTCGGATTTGTGAAGGAAAGTGATAGCTTGATTGATTTTCCAAAGGTCAAGGAGAGATTAAGACAAAGACCTCCTCGACAAGCTTATAAAAACCATTTCAAAAGGAATTTTGTCAAACCTGTTGGCCGAAGTGCACTCAGGTGCTCAAAATGTGGAGATCCACAACATTTTGAGAATGAATGTCCTAAGGTTTGGAGACCTGTTCGAAGAGACTTTGTTAAGACAGCCTATACTAATCCTCAAGGACCCAAACAAATTTGGGTACCAAAAAAAACTTGAAATGTTGTAATTTTTGCAGGTTACCACGAAGAGAAAAAGAAAGTGGTACATAGACAGTGGATGTTCTAGACACATGACAGGAGATCCAAGCATATTCGTTGAACTACAAAACCTGAATGGTGGAAAAGTTTCCTTTGGAGGAAATAACAAAGGAAAAATAGTTGGCAAAAGAACGGTAGAAATTGGAAGACTGACAATCAATGATGTTTCATTGGTAAAAGGACTCAACTACAACTTAATAAGCATATGCCAACTATGTGATAAAGGTTTCAGAATCAATTTTCAAGAAGATACATGCTCAGAAACAAGCAAAGATTCTTCTCAAACATTCACAGAAAGAAGACATGGCAATATTTATCTTCTAGATGTCAATCCAAACGCTACTCATTACTTGATCTCAATCAAAGAGGATGAAGATCTATGGCACAGAAGATTGGGGCATATCAGTATGAAACAAATCTCAAAGATCTCAAACAAGAAATTGGTTCGAGGTCTGCCTGATTTGAAATACAAGAAAACAGAATTATGCAATGCCTGCACTCTAGGAAAACAAGTAAGAAGCTCTTTTAAATCTATACATCATGTTTCCACTAATCGTGCTTTGCAACTTCTTCATATGGATCTATTTGGATCAACCAGAACACAAAGTATTGGTGGTAAGAAGTATTGTTTAGTTATTGTTGATGACTTCACAAGATTTACTTGGGTGTTCTTCCTTACTCATAAAAATGAAGCATTTTCATATTTTTCAAAATTTGCAAAAAGAGTTCAGAATGAAAAGGGCTATACCATTTCCTGCATTAAAACTGATCATGGGGGAGAATTTGAAAATCAAAATTTTTCAGATTTTTGTGAGGAAAATAGCTTTCAACACAATTTTTCTACTCCTTATACACCAGAATAAAATGGTGTTGTTGAGAGGAAAAATCGTTCTT